AAAAGAAACTGGACATAAAAGAGCACACGATGATGGTTTGCTTCACATGAAGTTCAAACACAGGCAAAAGTAACCTATGGCATCAGAAGTCAGAATAGTGGCTACCTGGGGAGGGAGCACTGACAGAGAGGTTGGAGCTAGAATTGCTTTATATTTCAGTCTGATCGTGGTTATTTGGGCACACACATATATGAAAACGAATGAAATTGTACTCTTAATATTTGTGCATATTTACTGTGTGCCAATTATACTTCATTTAGAAATATCTGGAGAGAGAGATATAGAAATTTCTGAATTCTTTCCTAAATATAAAAGAATTCAGTGCAGCTTAAATATAGCTGCAAGTATTGATGCTTATACCTTTAGAAAACCCATTATGCTTCTGAAAAATGTACTTACTACTTAATATCATACATAATAGAAAGCTAACATTTTGTATTAGTGGAATCTGAAAAACACATTGTACTATACATTTGAAATTACAGATTTACTAACTAGTAAAGATAAATGTTTGAGAGCTAAACTACAATGTTTAAGAACTAAAATTTTAAAATGTTTGTTTTTCCACTTTTTCCCTTGATTTACATTTTTTACTTTTTATATTTCATAATTATTTGTAACAAAAGCTATTGGATATAATTCCTGCACTTCTATATTGCAAGTATTTTCTCTATTTACCACAGAGACTTCAAGTCTTAGCATTTCAGAGCTGAAGGGGACACGCACGGACTCCCTCACTGCACAGATGAGGACGCAGAGGCAGGGGGAGGTGAGTGTCAGTCCCAAGGTTGCAGACCTAGGACAGGGACCGGGGCTCCCGGGCTCCCAGAACTCTGTCGCCTTCAACCCAAATTCGATTCAGTCCTCTCATCCTTCCAAATAGAAAGCTGACACGAACCGATCGGAAGCCTTTTTTTTTTTTTTTTCCCCCAATAACTATGCTACCCAGCAGATTCTTTGGGGACAGTCCTCAGAGTCCTTGAAAACCCCACTGGGGTTTAATGCCAGGATAAGAAGAGCGTAGAAGAAAGAGACAGCTAGTATTTTAATATATAAATCTGTTTGCATAATATTTCCTAGGTAAACTATTCGCTGATCCAACCAAAATTCGGCGGGGCTGGGGTGTATCGTTATTGAGGACGACTCGCTCTAGGGGAGAACCCGGACGCATTTTTCCATCAGAGTTCCCTCTATAAATCAAAACCTCAAAAGAAGAGTTAACGACGACACCCAGGAGTCTACAGTATCCAGGGGTCGGTCCAGGAGAGGTCCCTGGCCACCTGGCGCAGAGCTCGCGGCCGCAGACTCCCATTGACGGCCCAGCACCGGAGCGCGCGGGCCGAGCTGCCCCAGACCCGGCGCAGCGCCTCGGGGAGGCCGTCTGCAAAGTCCGGGCCGCCACTCGGGACCGCGGACCGGGCCAGAGGAGAGACGTCGGAGAACAGGGAAGAGGACGCGGGGTGGGAAAAGCCGGGGCCGCAGGCAAGTAGTGGGCGAGTCCGGAGGGCGCGAAAGAGGGGAGGGGCGCGGGAGGCAATGGAAAGAGCGAGCGCGGGGAGGAGCGAGGCGGCTGGGCCGGAGGAGGCGCGCGCCCGGGTCCACAGTACGGGGTGGGGGCTGAGGGGCCGCGAGGGGCTGCGAGCGGGCTAGCGGGGCCTTACCGAGCAGCGGCAGCCGGCCGCCGCCGCGCGCCAACGCCGGCATGGCCTCCGGAGCCCGGGGTCCCCAGGCCGCGCCGGCCCAGCCCTGCGATGCCGCCTGGAGCGGCGCGCCCCGCGCTGCAGGTGGCTCTCTTAAGGATGCGCGTCACCGACCGCAAATTCCCTCGGACTGGTGCAAAGTGGAAGGGGGGAGGAACCCTCTCCCCAGAGGCAGGGGCCGAGGCGGGAGCGGAGAGGTTGGGCCGAGCCGAGCAGCCGGTGCCTGGCGCAGCGCTGCAGCCGAGCCCACGTGCCCGCCGCGGTCCGCAGCCTGCGCTTGGCGGCCCCCGGGGCTCCCCGACTGCGGCGGGGAAGATTGGGCGCGGTCCCGCTGGAGAAGTTGCACGGGCTCCGCGGCTCTGCCTCCTTGCTGCCCCTGTGAGTCCCCGAACTCGGTGGTTTGGATCCGGGGCGTGGGGACTGCAGGGAGCCACAAACCACCCTTCTAGCGCTCTGGGATCTTTGAGGCCCTGAGAAGGGCGCTGAATCCGCGCGGCACGCTGGCGACTCCGGCCAGCGCACAGGCGAGCATGGGGTCTCATTCCATTCCCCGTGGATCTTAATTGTGGACTGATTTCCTTTGTCTCTCCCTCCATCTCCTAGGATGCCCAGGACCCAGTCAGCGGCGGGATCAAGAAAAACAGGCAGGGTTTCAATGTCAACCAAGGCATAGGGAGGTTAACAAACAGCCCTGAAAACAAAACACACAGAAAATACATCCCAGAGGATGTTGCGAATCATCCGCTCAATAGTTCTTCTTCTTCGTCGCATAATTTTTCGAGTTGAAAATTATTATTATTTTCCTGCAATAAGTTGAAGATTGGAAAGCTCTGGATGCCAATTCTGGTTCTTCCCTTACTTAACTAACTGGCCGTTTGACCTCCACAAACCTCTGTTTACTCATCGTAAAGGAAAGGGGTAGACCAAATGGTTTATGTCTCTTCCCAATTCTAGGAATTCCATGCTCTTAATTATTTTAATCATTTTCTAATAAAGCATGAAAATTGTTTACTCTTGGCCATACAGTTCTTTTCCTTAGATGTTGTTTACAGTACAATAATTCTTTCCCCCAGGACATGGCCGAAACTTTAGAAGTGTCTACTGTGGCGCAGCCACTATAGGAAACACTATAGAGGTTTCTCGAAAAATTTAAAAAAATATGGTCCAGCAATTCCATTTCTGGTCATGTAGCCAAAAGAATTGAAAGCAGGGTTTTGAAGAGATGTCTATACACCCATGTTCAAAGCAGCATTATTCACAGTAGCCAAAAGGTAGAAGCAACCCATGTCCACAACAGATGAATGATAAACAAAAATGCAGTATATACATACGACTGAGTGTTTTCCAGCTTCAAAAAGGAGGGAAATTCTGATACATGCTAAAATATGGATGAATCTTGACGACATTATGCTAAGTGAAATAAGCTAGTCCTGAAACATACAATGCTGTATCCCATTACGAATTCATAAAGACAGAAAGTAGAATGGTGGTTACCATGGGCTGGGGGCAGGGGGAAATGGGGAGCCAGTGTTTATTGGATACAGAGTTTCAGTTTTGCAAGATGAACAAAGTTCTGGAGACTGGTTGCTCAACGATGTGAATGTACTTAACGCTACTAAACTGTACACTTAAAAATAGCTAAGGCCGGGTGCGGTGGTTCCTGCCTGTAATCGTAGCACTTTGGGAGGCCGAAGCGGGCAGATCACCTGAGGTCAGCAGTTCAAGATCAGCCTAGCCAACATGGTGAAACCCCATCTCTACAAAAATACAACAATTAGCCAGGCGTAGTGGTGCATGCCTGTAATCCCAGCTACCTGGGTGGTTGAGGCAGGAGAATCTCTGGAACCCGGGAGGCAGAGGCTGCAGTGAGCTGAGATTACACCACTGCACTCCAGCCTGGGTGACAGAGCCAGACTCTGTCTCAAAAAAAAAAAAAAAAAAAAAAAAAAAAAAAAAAAAAAGTTAAGATGGTAAATTTTATGTATGTGTATTTTACCTCAATTTTAAATTTTTAAAGTTTTTGTGTAGCTGCTGAGGGTTTAAAAATTGTGTTAAAGAGTTTTGTGTCTACCTTAGGTCAGAAACAGAAATGAAGGAAGAAGGCCTGAAATAAGTGAAACATGAGGAGACAAGGCAATGAAACGGGCTGGTTATGGGGAGAAAAGTGAGCTTTCAATGGCCAAGACCTAACACACTACCTTTTATTTAAAGCTTGATTGCTGTATTAAAGGAAACTGATTGGCTGGGCGCGGTGGCTCACGCCTGTAATCCCAGCACTTTGGGAGGCCAAAGCGGATGGATCATTTGAGGTCAGAAGTTGGAGACCAGCCTAACCAACATGGTGAAACCCCGTCTCTACCAAAAATACAAAAAGTAGCTGGGTGTGATGGCACGCGCCTATAGTTCCAGCTACTCGGGAGGCTGAGGCAGGGGAATTGCTTGAACCCAGGAAGCGGATGTTGCAGTGAACTAAGAGCATGCCACCGCACTCCAGCCTGGGCAACAGAGCAAGACTTGGTCTTAAAAAAAATAAAATGAAATTCTTATATCGCCTTAGTATTAGAGTGCAGTGGCGCGATCTCGGCTCACTACAACATCTGCTTCCTAGGTTCAAGCAATTCCCCTGCCTCAGTCCCCTGAGTAGCTGGGATTATAGGCGCCTGCCACTGCGCCCGGCTAAGTTTGTATTTTTAGTAGAGAAGGGTTTCACTGTCTTGGCCTGGCTGGTCTCGAACTCCTGACCTCGTGATCCACCCGCCTTGGCCTCCCAAAGTGCTGGGATTACAGGTGTGAGTCACCATGGCCAGTCAGGAATGGCTTCTATGCACACTTGATTTTCCATGGAAATTGGTGGAAAAAATAATTCTAGAAAGAGCAAATCTTATAGACTGAAATATTTTGGAGTATGAGGTATAGGCTAACAGAAGGTGAAGTAATGCCCCTGGTTTTTTGAGATGTGCCAAGAGTCATATCTAATATGAGAACTAATTTCTTCCTCACAGCAACACTAAGGAAAGTAGCCTGAGATTATCTAGAGTCCTGGATTACACGCCCAGGTATGAAATTTTGGTGTCAGAGCTCATGATAGGAATTCTGCAATAAAGAAACTCTTAAAGGGTCAAAAGCAACCAGAAGAAATGAAGTGAAACAGGAGAAATCAGAAAAGAGAAGAGTAAGTTTGTTTCTGGGTTGAATGGAGCGTCCAGTGCTAATTCCACAAAAGGATGTATTTTATCTCGATTCTTAGCACTGTGATGCTTAGCGGCTACACAGCCAGGAGTAAGTGGTCGTCTATCTTACCAGCATCTTGATGCCATGTTTCCACCCCTTAAGTCACACAAATATCTCCTCTGCCTTTCTTCTCTCTCATCAAAAATTGTGACATTGTTTCAGTAGCAGCTCACAGGTGAAATATTTCAATGTCATTTTTAACATACAAAGCTTTATGTTCTCCTGAAAATAAGGGACAAACAAAAGGAATATTTGAATAGGGTTCACGTGAATTCAGTTGAGATATCAACTTTATAGTACAGTTTTACACGTCTTTTATTAATAGGGGCTTTGAACTCACCAATTGGCAAAATCTGACAATACTAAGTGTTGGCAAGAATTCAGAGCAATGGAGAACACCCACACCCAGTTGGTGGACGTCTGAATGGGTGTGAGCACTTTGAAAAATAATTTGGCATCTCTTACTAAAGTTGAACATATCCTCCAGCCAGCAGTTTCACCCCTATATAGAAACCTCAGAGAAACACACATATGTGCCAAGAGACGTGTATAAGAATGTTCATAGCATTATTGTTTATAATATCAAAAATTGGGAACAATCTAAATGCCCACCAACGAAAGGATAAATTGCAGTACAGTTGTAATAAAATGCTTATATATTAAATAACAGTGTAAATAAATGAGCTACCTGAGTAAATAAATGAGTTACCTGATACACCAGGAATGAATCTCAAAAACATACTGTTGAGGGGGAAAAGCAAGTCATGGAATAATAGACATAAAGACAGAAGCAAACAATATTTTTCTTAGGAGTACATTCTTAGGGGGTATAAGGAAAGTAAAGGAATAATTATCACAAAAGTCAGGATTGTGGTTACCTCTGGTATGGGGTGGGAAGAGGAGATTTAATTAGAGAAGACAAACTGGGGATCTCTAAGGTGCTAACACACCCTATTGTTGTTTTGTGATAAGGTCTTGCTACATTGCCCAAGCTGGAGTGTAATGGCTATTCACAGGCACAACCATAGCTCACTGCAGCCTTGAACTCCTGGGCTCAAGCCTCTGGGTAGCTGGGACTACAGGCGTGGACCACTATGCCCAACCACACCCTATTGTTTTTTTTAACCTCTGTGGTGGGTGCTGGATGTTCACTTGATTGTTATTCTTTAAACTACGTAATTATTTTTACACACTGCTGTATGATGTATTTCACAACAAAAGAAAATTAAAGGCCGGGTGCGGTGGCTCACACCTGTAATCATAGTATTTTAGGAGGCTGAGGTGGGCGGATCACAGGTCAGGAATTCGAGACCAACGTGGCCAACAGGTGAAACCCCGTCTGTACTAAAAATACAGAAATTAGCCGGGCATAGTGGCACACACCTATAATCCCAGCTATTTGGGAGGCTGAGGCAGGAGAATCACTTGAACCCAGGAGGTGGAGGTTGCAGTGAGCCAAGATGGTGCCATTGCACTCCAGCCTGGGAGACAGAGCAAGACTCCATGTCAAAAAAAAAAAAAAAAGGGAAAATTAAAGAAGTTTGAAGCCAGTCACTGTGGCTCACACCTATAATCCCAGCACTTCAGGAGGCTGAGATAAGAGGATCACCGAGTCTAGGAGTTAGAGACACCCTGGGCAATAAAGTGAGACTCCACTTCTAGAAAAAAAAAATTAAAATTAGCCAGGCATGTGGCTCAAACCTGTAGTCCCAGCTATTCAGGAGGCTGAGTCAGGAGGATTGCCTGAACCCAGAAAGTCGAGGCTGCAGTGAGCTGCGATTTTGTCACTGTGCTCCAGGCTGGGCAACAGAGCAAGATTTTGTCTATTAAAAATAAATAAATAAATAAGTTTGACACATTTTCACCTACAAGGTATTCTTATACAAACAAATGATATCTCAATCTGCTTAAGATTCCAGGACCTGGTGGTGCACACCTGAAGATCCCAGATCCAACTACCGTTGTATAGGAAATACGTGGGATAATGGAACACGGAACAACACAGGGACACAATTTTAAAATTCCGAAGTCTGGACGCAGTGGCTTACACCTGTAGTCCCAGCACTTTGGGAGGCTGAGGCAGGCAGATCACTTGAGGTTCAAGACCAGCCTGGCCAACATAGTGAAACCCTGTCTCTACTAAAAATACAAAAATTAGCTGGGCATGGTAGTGGCTGCCTGTAATCCCAGCTACTCAGGAGGCTGAGACAGGAGAATTGCTTGAACCCAGAAGGCGGAGGTTGCAGTGAGCCCAGATGGTACCATTGCACTCCAGCCTGGGTAACACAGCAAGATTCCATCTCAAAAAAATATAAATAAATAAAAAATAAATAAATAAAATAAAATTCCAGACCCTAGGAAACTGTATAGAACAAATAACTTGGTTTCTTCAACCAAAATTTGTAAGAAAATAAAAAAAGAGGCCGGGCGCGGTGGCTCAAGCCTGTAATCCCTGCACTTTGGGAGGCCGAGACGGGCGGATCACGAGGTCAGGAGATCGAGACCATCCTGGCTAACATGGTGCAAACCCGGTCTCTACTAAAAAAAATACAAAAAACTAGCCGGGTGCGGTGGCGGGCGCTTGTAGTCCCGGCTACTCGGGAGGCTGAGGCAGGAGAATGGCGTAAACCCGGGAGGGGACGCTTGCAGTGAACTGAGATCCGGCCACTGCACTCCAGCCTGGGTGACAGAGCAAGACTCCGTCTCAAAAAAAAAAAAAAAAAAAGAAAAAGAAAAAAAGGAAAAAAAAAAAAGAGATGGAACCTATAAATTAAAAGAAACCTGAGAGATATATTAAGTATATTACAATATCAAGCAATTGTAATGTGCAATGTAAAGATGTTATTTGGATGCTGATTCAAGTAACCTGAAAAATAGACATAAAACAATTGGGAAAATGTGATCACTGGTTTTAATTTTGACATTATTTTATAAGAAATTATATGTGTGCGGGAGGCTGAGGTAGGAGCATTGCTTGAACCCAGGAGGCAGAGGTTGCAGTGAGCCAAGATTGCGCCACTGCACTCCAGCCTGGGCGACAGAGCAAGACTCTGTCTCCATAAAAAAAAATAAATTATATGTTTGATGATAGCATTGTTATTTATTTTAAAAATAGTTTCTATCTTTGCAGAGGTACACATGAAATAGTTACAGATAAAATGATATGAAATGGGAAGGTTGAGAGGGAATAGGGAGTGACGGTTAATGGGAACAGGATTTATTTTTTTGGGATGATAAAACTATTCTAAAATTAGATTATGGTGAAGGTTGCTCAACTCTGTAAATACACTAAAAACCACACTAAATAGGTGAACTATAGACATGTAAATTGGATCTCAGTGAAGCTGTAAAAAATGATACAAAGTCAGAGATTTTCTTCAAAATCATCTGATGTGGAGGGTTTAAGTGGAGGAATCAAAATTAACCATGTGTCACCAGTAGTTGCACCTGAGCCACAGTCATATAAGCTCATTATACTTTTCTTAGACATTTTCTATAATAAAAGGTTTTGAATAAAAAAGATTTGAAGAAAAGGCCGAGCCGTCGTGTGCCTAGGATGCTGCGTGGAAGCCAAAGCTTGACCTCCTGCATGACCCCTTTGGTCAGCCGGGCCCCTCAGATGAGAATTGCACCCAGGCCAGCACCAGCCGCTCAGCCACCAGCAGCGGCGCCCCCATCTGCAGTTGGCTGTCCTGCTGCTGCGCCCCGGCAGCCAGGTCTGATGGCCCAGATGGCAACCACTGCAGCTGGCGTGGCTGTGGGCTCTGCTGTCGGGCACACACTGGGTCACACCATTACTGGGGGATTTAGTGGAGGAGGTAATGCTGAGCCTGTGAGACCTGACATTACTTACCAGGAGCCTCAGGGAGCCCAGCTGGTACAGCAGCAGCAGCCTTGCTTCTATGAGATCAAACAGTTTTTGGAGTGTGCCGAGAACCAGGATGACATCAAGCTCTGTGAGGGTTTCAATGAGGTGCTGAAACAGTGCTGATTTGCAAAAGGATTGGCCTAATCAAGAAGTTCAACCTGGAGAAATGGGAAATCAGCTCTATAACCAAGTTAATTTAGTATAAAAACAGAATTGATAGAGAAGGTATAAAGTGTACTATTAGTTGCTTCTTTGCTTCTGAATTGAAATGGAAGGAGGTGTTCCTACTCTGTAGAAGTTGGAGCTGGGCAAATGTTTGTGTGGCCTCCTTAAAATAGTTGTTGTGATTTTATTCTTTGTGAGTTAATTAGAATAAAGTCATTTTCTTCCAAGAGAAAAAAAAAAAGATTTGAAATATTGGACAAGTTAACTTATCCTGAATGTGTGGAAGATAACTACCGCAGCTTAGAACGCATGAGCTGCTCTTTACTATGTTTTTATGAACCCACCTAAATGGAATGAACAATAAAAGAACCTTGGAATCTGTTTCCATTACGCAAACTTGATGGCACACAGGTGAACTGCAAAATTCCAACTGCCGAATTTCATGATAATTGATAGGTATTCCTTTATGTCTAAGATGATTTCAAAATAATCATCTCCTTAGAATTCGTGGCAACAGATAATGTGTTAGTTGGCTAGGGCTGCCATAACAAAGTACCACAAACTGGGGGTGGGGGTGGAGTTAAATAAGAGAACTTTATTGTATGACAGTTCTGGAGGCCAGAAATTTTCAAACATACACAAAAGTACAGAGAATAATATAATGATATATGTATCCATCACTCTGTTTCAACAATGACCATCATTTTGTCATTCCTGAGAATAAGGAGAGCTCCAGAGTGCAGTTTTTGGAGATAACGTTTTAACTAAAAAGGATTACTTCAATTGGGACTTTTTTTTTTTTTTTTTGAGACAGAGTCTCCCTCTGTGGCCCAGGCTAGAGTGCAGTGGCACGATCTTGGCTCACTGCAAGCTCCGCCTCCTGGGTTCATGCCATTCTCCTGCCTCAGCCTCCTGAACCGCTGGGACCACAGGCGCCCCCCACCACGCCCTGCTAATGTTTTGTATTTTTAGTAGAGACAGGGTTTCACCATGCTAGCCAGAAGATCTTGATCTCCTGACCTTGTGATCTGCCCACCTCAGCCTCCCAAAGTGCTGGGATTACAGGCATAAGCCACCACGCGGCCTCAATTGGGATATTTTCAGTCACTGTGGCAATCTGGTAAGGAGGTATTTTCAGGATTTTTATTTTAGGGGATAAGGGTCTTCATATCAGGATCTGCAATTTAAAAACAGTGTAGGCCGGGTGCAATGGCTCACACCTGTAATCGCAGCACTTTGGGAGGCCGAGGCAGGTGAATCACATGGTCAGGAGTTCAAGACCAGCCTGGCCAAAATGGTGAGACCCCATCTCTACCAAAAATACAAAAATTAGCTGGATGTGGTGGCATGTGCCTGTAACCCCAGCTACTTGGGGGACTGAGGCAGGAGAATCACTTGAACCTGGGAGACAAAGGTTGCAGTGAGCTGAGATAGCGCCACTGCACTCCAGCCTGGCGACAGAGCGATACTCTGTCTCTAAATAAATAAATAACACTGTAGAGGCAATAAGAGAGATAGTTATTCTTTATTCCCACAGGTATATAATATAATATTGCTTGACAGTCACATCAACAAATATTTGCACCAAAGTGTTACAGAGGTTTTGATAAAAGCATGTGCCAGGCATACTACGGTCACAGTGAAAAGAGTGGCCCAAAAAACATTCCCTTCACTATGGCCCTTAGAAACTGGCTTTAGCCCAAGGAAACTGCTTCCTCTGTAGCTCTTCAAATGCTACAGAGGAAGCAGTTGGGGAAAATTCTTATTTCCCCCAGTTCCATATATAATGAAGCCTGGAATGTTGGCATTCTTCTAGTTCTCCATTGCTACTTACAGATCATTACCTTTTTTTTTCTATTAAAAATAATATTCTTGGTGGGGCATGGTGGCTCACACCTGTAATCCCAGCACTTTGGGAGGCCGAGGTGGGCAGATCACCTGAGGTTGGGAGTTTGAGATCAGCCTGACCAACATAGTCAAATCCCATCTCTATTAAAATACAAAACTAGCCAGGTGTGGTGGCAGGCACCTGTAATCCCAGCTACTTGGGAGGCTGAGGCAGGAGAATCGCTTGAACCTGGGAGGCGGAGGTTGCAGTGAGCTGAGATCACACCATTGCACTCTAGCCTCTAGCCTGGCCAACAAGAGCGAAACTCTGTCTCAAAAAAAAAAAAAAAAAAAAAAGAAAAGAAAAGAAAAGGTTATATTCTTTTTCTACCGTAAGTATACATGTTAAATGCAAAAAAAGAAAAAAAAGTTGGAAAGTACCCATACGCACACTCACATTACCTGTACCAACTGATAACCATTTACACTTTGATGACAGTCTATCTAGTTTTTTCTCTATGCATATATTTATACATAGGTCTAGACATATATTTTATAAATAGGATTATAATACACATGCTCCTTCTTTGCTTACTTTAAAAAAAATCGGCCAGGCGTGGTGGCTTACACCTGCCATCCCAGCACTTTGGGAGGCCGAGGTGGGCAGATCATTTGAGGTCAGGAGTTCGAGACCAGCCTGGCCAACATGGTGAAACCCTGTCTCTATTAAAAATACAAAAATTAGCCTGGCGTGCTATCACGTGCCTGTAATCCCAGCTACTTGGGAGGTTGAGGCAGGAGAATTGCTTGAACCTGGGAGGCAGAGGTTGCAGTGATCGCACCATTGTGCTTCAGCCTGGCCAAAAAATCGAGACTTCGTCTCAAAAAAAACCAAAAACAAAAACAAATATTGTCCGTGTTGATTATGCCACGATATTACTGTTAAGTTACTCATTGCATGATATAGATGAATCATAATTTATGGAACCAATACGTGTTGTTGGACGTTTTATAGGTATCTTTGGTTTTGTTTTGTTTGTTTGTTTTTTGTTTTTTGTTTTTTGTTTTTGAGACGGAGTCTTGCTCTGTCACCCAGGCTGGAGGGCAGTGGTGTGATCTTGGCTCACTGCAAGTTCCGCCTCCCGGGTTCACGCCAGTCTCCTGCCTCAGCCTCCTGAGTAGCTGGGACTACAGGCGCCTGCCACCACGCCTGGCTAATTTTTTGTATTTTTAATAGAGACGGGGTTTCATCTTGTTAGCCAGGATGGTCTCGATCTCCTGACCTCGTGATCCGCCCGCCTCACCACAACCTCCGCCTCCCGGGTTCAAGAGATTCTCCTGTTTCAGCCTCCCAAGTAGCTGGGACTGCGGGCATGTGCCACCACGCCTGCCTAATTTTGTATTTTTAGTAGAGACGGGGTTTCTCCATATTGGTAAGGCTAGTCTCGAACTCTCGACCACAGGTGATCCACCCACCTAGGCCTTGCAAAGTGCTGGGATTACAGGCACGAGCTACCATGCCTGGCATTTTGTTTTTGAGACTGGGTCTCGCTTTGTAACCCAGGCTGGATTGCAGTGGCATGATCTCAGCTCACTGCAACCTCTGCCTCCCAGGTTCAAGCAATTCTCCTGCCTCAGCCACCTGAGCAGTTGGGACTATAGGCGCAGGCCACCATGCTCGGCTAATTTTTGTATTTTTAGTAGAGATGGGGTTTCACCTTATTGGCCAGGCTGGTCTCTAACTCCTGACCTCGTGATCCACCTACATTGGCCTCCCAAAGTGCTGGGATTATAGGTGTGAGCCACCATGCCTGGCCAGGCATCTTTGTTTTAATATTCAGTTATTATGGCTACACATTTTATGTATTTAATTGTGTTTTTATTTTTACTGATTCAGTCTCGCTGTGTTGCCCAGGCTGGTTCAAACACCTGGGCTTAAGGAATCCTCATACCTCAGCCTCCCAAAGTACTGAGATTACAGGTAAGAGCGACTGTGCCTGGCCAAGGATGCAAATTTTAGAACTTAGTTTTTTGAAGCTTTTGAGCTCAACTTACAAATATTGTCATTTAATTTATAAACTGAATATAGTTTTGAAATTTAAAACTCATCTTGTTCTTCGATAAGTAATCATCTTATAAATTTAAATTATTGAATTGTATTAAATCTTCCTAAACATTCAACACCTTTATGAAATTCTCTTAGAAGTTTCAAACTAGTCACACATTTAGTAAATTTATTCCTCTGTAGTGCTTCAAACACTTAATAAAAGTCTAATCAAACTTTCTCAGCATTTAAGAAACATTTACATGCATACTAATGCAAAATTTGCAGATTTACTAATTAGATTCCTTCACTTGTTTACACAGTGATTACAAACTTAATTAGCTACATTTTTCTAAGTATTTCACCTAAAAACATAAATCTGTCAGATTCTTTTAAAACATATGAAACACCTCAAATCATGAACAAAACACAGAAACTATAACAGATTGCAAACTTATTACACCTGCACAAAAATACTAACATTGTAATTTGCATCAGTTTTTTTAATAATCTAAAAGCTTCCCAGAGTTGCAAGTTTACTCTCCTGCCTAAGAGGAGCTCAGGATGACTGTGATTTGTGCTTACAATTATAGGTTATAGATCTGGCATCAGGAGGTGGAAGCTGGGTGCACCTTTTGGGATAATTCATACAGGGCAGTCTCTTTTGGCTAGTTCACATCACGTTTTTTAAAAATTAAAAAATCTGGCTTATCATGTATTCCTCTTAGCCTCTGCCACTTTTTTTTTTTTTTTTTTTTTTTTTTGACAGGGGCTCACTCTGTCACCCAGGATGGAGTGCAATGGTGCAATCCTAGCTGATTGCAACCTCTGCCTCCCGGGCTCAAGGGATCCTCCCACCTCAGCCTCCCAAGTAAATGGGACTACAGGCACGCACCACCATGCCTGGCTATTATTTGTATTTTTTGGAGACACTGGGGTTTGCCATGTTGCCCAGGCTGGTCTGGCACTCCTGAGCACAAGCGCTATCTGCCCACCTCCGCCTCCTCCCAAAGTGCTAGGATTACAGATGTGAGCCGCCATGTCTGGCCACCACT